CCTCCTCCCCTTATTTTTCTTCATTCTCTTCTGTTCCTTTCTTCTTCCTTTCTTCTTTATTCTTAGTCTCCTAACTACTTCGCGAGTAGGAGCAACGAAAAAATGCCCCTGGGCCCTTTCAGCGATAGTATATCAGATGCCCCGTAACCCACTGGAACAGAGTGAGAACAAAGTTCTCATGAGTAATTGTACTGATATCTCCATATAGTTGACTGATGGAATAGAGCCAAATGATGTATATATTAGAAATATTCTAAATTCACTTAGTATGATAGATGCAAAAGGGACAGAACGCGACCACGGAATTTTGACGACAAATGTGAACAAAAGGTTTTTCTTGCGTAGTCGCATGCGTCTCTGTGACCTTACAAGTATACGGCTAGTAGTCCAAAAAGTAGGATAGTCTTTTTCTTGGGTTGTTCCGCTTTTTCCAAGAGGGTGGTGGCTGGGCTGACTAATCGATTTCTATCTACGCTTTATCGCTCATTTTGCCGATTCTCTCGTTTCCGAATTTCTCCGAGTGTTGCGTGTTGCTCCAAATCGATACCTCGACACCTTTTCCGTGAATTCGTCGTTTTTTTTCAAAGTTGTATATGAATGCGACCATGCCGAGCCATTTTGTTTCGGTTCTGAAAGTCCTGTAAAGCGCCAAGATGGTGCAGGTGTCTTTTTTACGCCACTCCTTTTCATTCTGGACTATTTTTTAATGACAGGAAGGAGAAAGGAGCTTCACTGATTAGTGAACTACTCCTTGGTGCACAAACTGGTATTTTATTTCGTCTGGAGCGGTTCATTCAGCCTGGAATATCAACAGGACTTCACAAAATGACCCGGTATCTTGAAACAGCCCCATCTTCAAAGCAATATACCCCATTGCAGCTTGGTGCACCCAATACAGCGATCATTTGCATAGAATATGGAGGAGGGCAATAGCAAATTTCAGTGCTGGTGATGCGAGGTAAAAATTGCTTGAGTTTGCCGGTGAAAATAACATGTGACATATTAGTTTTCAGAAATATGGGCCGGCTGAGTACAATTCAAAATACACTTTTCACACGTCCTCCCGATAACTTCAACAAGACAGGTTGGTTATCATTCCGTGTTCAATTTTTTTCTAATGTATGCAAAGCCGACGTTGCGCCTGAGATCAAGGACCGCGCGCGTCGTTAGGCACGGTTCATACTTAACTAGCCAGCGACTCATCCACTGCGATCGCTCCGGTCGAAGAGATTCATGGTGGTATTCCAACGGGTTGAGGCTGCCTTATTATCAAATCAATTCACCACTTTTGACCCAAGAATGTGTTCATATTTCGCGACTCGAGTGACGCAGTAGCTCAGCTTCAGTGAACTGTGCACTTTAGCGCATTATAGCCGTTGTTTGAGAATCTCCACATAATTTCGGTACTTTTCGAACCGATAATCAGCAATACATCTGGTCTTCCATTTGTCTATGACGGCTATCTTATTCTATACCCTGCGCAAACATGATTAATACTTTAGAGCATTATTATGACGCCAAATAGAGTCGTTCTGCTGAAATACCGGACGCCAGAGCAGAAAAATGTTATGACGCCCCAGTATGCTCATCGCGTCACGCGACGCTGGGTGAGAAACGAACAGTTAGCTCTCTTCATTTTGTGCATTATTCTCCCGAAATGCTGAATGCACTTACATACATTTCTGGAACTTGCAATTAAGATGTCTTTCTTGACTTTGCAGTTAGTAATGGGCAAGCCGTGACACAGTCTTAGCGCAGCGCTTGAGACTCCGCGCTCGCCCCAGCGCCTCGGTCGTTGCCGCTCGCGCTGATGCACATGCTTTTGACTGCATCGATCGCGCCGAAACGCCGACCGAAGCACTCCCAGTCGCAATTCTAACCTGAACCTTACAATGCCGAAGCCGTTCCTTTACAACTGCATAAAATAAATGACTTGCTGGCTCAACTCGACCATCTTCGAGGTAAATCGGTACACCACATCAACTGGTTTGCAAATTATGTAACGGATTGGAGCAATGTCCTGACTTGTTGTGGCTCTACCATGTCGATTCCAATCATGAGATCCGACGATTCGAAAAATTTTCGTCATGCGATTCTAACAAAAAAGCATTCAAGATGAAATTGGCACCGCTTTCATCTTTGACGGCATGATTTTGTATCTGGTTAGCAGTATCAATTATCAGGTGAGCTGTTCCTGATATTTTGTTGAGAAATCCACAAAGAGGGCACCTCCTTCCATCGGGAAGATTCTCGGAAAATACGACCCCCTCCCCATTCCTCCCACCCTACAACTTTCCCAGCCTCCTACCACATTTTCCGGAATTTTCCAAAAATTTTGTTGTCGAGCTCCAGTGAAACAGGAAAATATGGAAAAGTCTATAACGGAGAATTCTTTCATAATGCGGCAAATTTCTGCAAAAGACATATACGATCCTTCCCCCCCCCCCTTCCCCCCGATCCCTTAAATTTTGGATGTGAATAGTGCCCGTGAATCAGGGAAAAAAACGTGCAAAAACATTTTTTGAGACCCCTCCGTCCGCCGACCAAACACGCCCCCACCCCCTCTGGGGATGCCCACTATAGGATGTGCCCTGTCTCCGCAAAATATTCCTCTGCTTCAGGGAGAATACTCTGCCGTCCATCCAGTCAGCAATGAACCTGTGACTGTTTCTCTCAAAGCGTCCGTTCGATTTAGTCAGAATGACTCGCAAACTATTAACTGCTACAACATCATTATTCGCAGGTTAATAAGAACATTCATACAGTCGTTTTCGCTGCGGATGAAGGGGCCTATCAAGGGCATGGGTCTGGCGGCACACTAACCTGCTTTTTTTCTTTCTGCAAGCGATAAGACAGTGGTAACTTCGGTGTCAGTCATTCTCCACCAGTTGTTGTCGCTTACCCGCTTTAGCAAGAGATGGAGAAATTGCTGGCCGCATGCCAGATCAAGCATGACTGACATGTTCCGTCATCCGTAGCGAATGAGTTTGTAATATATTGCCTAAGTATTCACTTCCTTCACTGGGAGCTAAGCGCTTTTTTTCTCACAGTTGCCTCGACATGGTTGGATTAAAACGCTTGGGACGGAATCACTTCAATGAGAAGGAGAAGAGTAGGCTCCGAGACTACAATATGGAAGTGTGGCCAGGATTTGAGACAGCCGTACGCCAATACGAAGACCAGCTGATGCTTTGTATCGAAAATCGTTTTAAAATGATCCGTACGGAATCAGTGTGGGACGTGGTCAGTTTACGAGAATTGTGGTGCTGTCTGCCGAAAAAAAAGCTCACGAAATCCTCTAGCTGTGATGCTCACGAACTGAACTAATTGTATTATGATGAGCGATGGGGCTAGAGCTCAAATTTTGGGCCTTGTTTATCACTTTCTCCTCCGAGTTTCTGAAATCAGGCCAGCTTTCTAACCCACTTTTTCTCTGAAAGTTATCTCAAGGGAAGTTTAACTATTCAAACGTGAGTATCCGAGCTTACCAAATTCGCTGAAAACTTTTCCCTGGAGATAGTTTGACCTCCTGGGTAAGAAACACCTATTAGCCGGAAGCTTGGCCTGCGAGATGAATGGGTCCGCAGCTGCAGTAGCGTGTGTAAGGGGCTGTAGGATAGTGATGTCCGGGTGCCGTCTTCATAATTACTCGCACTGCTGCAGTGCTCCGGAGGTGAGTGTACAGTTTGTCCTTGCTTTTCTGTGAATCATAACCAAACGCACTGGGTATCTGCGCCCTTCTGGTTGTTCTCTACCGCTGAGTACGTGTCTCTTGCGGGACGCTGGCACCGAAGAAAGTGTTGTATCTCGAGGAGAACGCGGGTGGTGTGTGGCACTCGCGTACGACTACCCTTGGGCCCTGTTCCGTGCGCTTTCAAGCAAATGAAAGGACGCGCTGCTGTAGCCCTTTCGCCTCGCACATGGCAAAGACTGTCTTCGGAGGAGTGTACAGTTGGTCCTTGCTTTTCTGCGACTGGTAAGTGTTTCAGATGAACTACGAGCTGAAGAGAGTAAAGGACAACATCGAGAGGTTCCACATAAATATGGAAGGTTTACTTGTCGGAGAAACGGTTTTTGCTCGGTACGTTCCTTGAAATCGTCGGGTACTGAACGTCACATCCAAAACGCCCGTTATGCTTTCTTCAGCGACCTGTGACGTTTTCAGTTACAACAACAAGAATGTATCGAGTGGCTGGAATTGACTACACTATGACACCCTGACTCGACATTCACTATGAATAATGGATCAGAAACTACGCTGAAAAATTATTTTGAAAAGCAGTACAACCTAGTCATCAGAGCTGCTCGTCAACCTGTGTGGTAAGCATTCATTGGCGCTGTAGTACCATGGGGCCGTAATCGTCTACACTCGCATGGTAAGGTCGGACAGTTGCGGCCCCCTAGTACTATAACGCCCATTCGGCATTGTATCGCATTCAGGGATTCGGGGTTTGTCCTTAGGCTGCGGTCATACTTTGCGTCGGCGTACGGCGGTTTTTCGAGCACAAATCAGCCGCTACGAAAGTATAGATATCGATCTAGCGTACGCCAGCGTCCAGGAGGGTATGGATATCGATCTAGCGTACGCCCGCGTACAGCAACTTTTTCGCGGGCAGTTTTGTTCAGGCTCAAGCCCGCGAAGATGCTGCTGCACGCTGGCGTACGCTACATCTATACCTGAAGTTTTCCAGTCGCCGGCGCTGTACGCTCGAAACGCTGGCGTACGATTACGCAAAGTATGAACACAGCCTTATTACAGGCTACAGAGTCCGTTATTATTAAAAACTAGTTTTACAGGTTTGCTGTTGTTTTATTGTGCGTTTTGTAGGTAAGCGAAGGGAAGGTCAAGCAGCCAAATGGTGCACCGCAGTATGCATACTTACTGCCAGAGTTGTGCTATCCTACTGGTCTCACCGATGCTATGAGGAAAGACTTCAGACACATGAGAGAGTTATCAAGACACACTCGATTAGATCCGGAAAAACAACGTCAAACGACCGAGAAGCTCTTGACTATGATACAT